AGTGAGGCACGTGTCGTCGTGTTGTGTGTAGTGTGTTAGTGAGGCACGTGTTGTGTATCAGTGTGTAGTGTGTTAGTGATGCACGTGTCGTTGTGTTGTGTATCGGTGTGTAGTGTGTTAGTGAGGCACGTGTTGTGTATCGGTGTGTAGCGTGTTAGTAAGGCACGTGTTGTGTATCGGTGTGTATTGTGTTAGTGAGGCACGTGTCGTTGTGTTGTGTATCGGTGTGTAGTGTGTTAGTGAGGCACGTGTTGTGTATCAGTGTGTAGTGTGTTAGTGAGGCACGTGTTGTGTATCGGTGTGTAGTGTGTTAGTGAGGCACGTGTTGTGTATCGGTGTGTAGTGTGTTAGTGAGGCACGTGTTGTGTATCAGTGTGTGGTGTGTTAGTGAGGCACGTGTTGTGTATCAGTGTGTAGTGTGTTGGTGAGGCACGTGTTGTGTATCAGTGTGTAGTGTGTTAGTGAGGCACGTGTTGTGTATCAGTGTGTAGTGTGTTAATGAGGCACGTGTTGTGTATCAGTGTGTAGTGTGTTAGTGAGGCACGTGTTGTGTATCAGTGTGTAGTGTGTTAGTGAGGCACGTGTTGAGTATCAGTGTGTTAGTGAGGCACGTGTTGTGTATCAGTGTGTAGTGTGTTAGTGAGGCACAGGCATCACGCGCGCGCTGCGGGAATGCGACGGAGGTCGCTGACGTCATTGGTAGTGGTAGTAGTAGTGGTAGTAGCAGTGGTAGTAGCAGTGGTAGTGGTAGTAGTAGTGGTAGTAGCAGTGGTAGTGGTAGTAGTAGTGGTAGTAGCAGTGGTAGTGGTAGTAGTAGTGGTAGTAGCAGTGGTAGTGGTAGTAGTAGTGGTAGTAGCAGTGGTAGTGGTAGTAGTAGTGGTAGTAGCAGTGGTAGTGGTAGTAGAAGTGGTAGTAGTAGTAGCAGTGGTAGTAGCAGTGGTAGTGGTAGTAGAAGTGGTAGTAGCAGTAGTAGTGGTAGTAGCAGTGGTAGTAGCAGTGGTAGAGCAGTGGTAGTAGTAGTGGTAGTAGCAGTGGTAGTAGTAGTAGCAGTGGTAGTAGTAGTGGTAGTAGCAGTGGTAGTAGTAGTAGCAGTGGTAGTAGTAGTGGTAGTAGCAGTTGTAGTAGTAGTGGTAGTAGCAGTGGTAGTAGTAGTGGCAGTGGTAGTAGTAGTGGTAGTAGCAGTGGTAGTAGTAGTGGTAGTAGTAGTAGCAGTGGTAGTAGTAGTGGTAGTAGCAGTGGTAGTAGTAGTGGTAGTAACAGTGGTAGTAGCAGTGGTAGTGGTAGTGGCAGTGGTAGTAGCAGTGGTAGTAGTAGTAGCAGTGGTAGTAGTAGTAGTAGCAGTGGTAGTAGTAGTAGTAGCAGTGGTAGTAGTAGTAGCAGTGGTAGTAGTAGTGGTAGTAGCAGTGGTAGTAGCAGTGGTAGTGGTAGTGGCAGTGGTAGTAGCAGTGGTAGTGGTAGTAGTAGTGGTAGTAGCAGTGGTAGTAGCATTGGTAGTGGTAGTAGCAGTGGTAGTAGCAGTGGTAGTAGTAGTAGCAGTGGTAGTAGTAGTAGTAGCAGTGGTAGTAGCAGTGGTAGTGGCAGTAGTAGTAGCAGTGGTAGTAGCAGTGGTAGTAGCAGTGGTAGTAGCAGTGGTAGTGGTAGTAGCAGTGGTAGTATCAGTGGTAGTGGTAGTAGCAGTGGTAGTAGAATTGGTAGTGGTAGTAGCAGTAGTAGTAGCAGTAGTAGTGGTAGTAGTAGTGGTAGTAGAAGTGGTAGTGGTAGTAGTGGTAGTAGCAGTGGTAGTGGTAGTAGCAGTGGTAGTAGCAGTTGTAGTAGCAGTGGTAGTAGCAGTGGTAGTGGCATTGGTAGTGGTAGTAGTAGTGGTAGTAGCAGTAGTAGTGGTAGTAGTAGTGGTAGTAGAAGTGGTAGTAGCAGTAGTAGTGGTAGTAGCAGTAGCAGTGGTAGTAGCAGTGGTAGTGGTAGTAGCAGTGGTAGTGGTAGTAGCAGTGTTAGTAGCAGTGATAGTAGCAGTGGTAGTAGCAGTGGTAGTAGCAGTGGCAGTGGTAGTAGCAGTGGTAGTGGTAGTAGCAGTGGTAGTAGCAGTTGTAGTAGCAGTGGTAGTAGCAGTGGTAGTGGCATTGGTAGTGGTAGTAGTAGTGGTAGTAGCAGTAGTAGTGGTAGTAGTAGTGGTAGTAGAAGTGGTAGTAGCAGTAGTAGTGGTAGTAGCAGTAGCAGTGGTAGTAGCAGTGGTAGTGGTAGTAGCAGTGGTAGTGGTAGTAGCAGTGGTAGTAGCAGTGGTAGTGGTAGTAGCGGTGGTAGTGGCAGTGGCAATGACAGTGGTAGTAGCAGTGGTAGTGGTAGTAGCAGTGGTAGTGGTAGTAGCAGTAGTAGTGGTAGTAGTAGTGGTAGTAGAAGTGGTAGTGGTAGTAGTAGTGGTAGTAGCAGTAGCAGTGGTAGTAGCAGTGGTAGTGGTAGTAGCAGTGGTAGTGGTAGTAGCAGTGGTAGTAGCAGTGGTAGTAGCAGTGGTAGTGGCAGTGGTAGTAGCAGTGGTAGTGGCAGTGGTAGTAGCAGTGGTAGTAGCAGTGGTAGTGGTAGTAGCAGTGGTAGTAGCAGTTGTAGTAGCAGTGGTAGTAGCAGTGGTAGTGGCATTGGTAGTGGTAGTAGTAGTGGTAGTAGCAGTAGTAGTGGTAGTAGTAGTGGTAGTAGAAGTGGTAGTAGCAGTAGTAGTAGCAGTAGCAGTGGTAGTAGCAGTGGTAGTGGTAGTAGCAGTGGTACTGGTAGTAGCAGTGGTAGTAGCAGTGGTAGTGGCAGTGGTAGTAGCAGTGGTAGTGGTAGTCGCAGTGGTAGTAGCAGTGGTAGTAGCAGTGGTAGTAGCAGTGGTAGTGGTAGTCGCAGTGGTAGTAGCAGTGGTAGTAGCAGTGGTAGTGGCAGTGGTAGTAGCAGTGTTAGTGGTAGTAGCAGTGGTAGTAGCAGTGGTAGTAGCAGTGGTAGTAGCAGTGTTAGTGGTAGTAGCAGTGGTAGTAGCAGTGGTAGTAGCAGTGGTAGTAGCGGTGGTAGTGGCAGTGGCAATGACAGTGGTAGTAGCAGTGGTAGTGGTAGTAGCAGTGGTAATAGCAGTGGTAGTAGCAGTGGTAGTAGCAGTGGTAGTGGCAGTGGTAGTAGCAGTGGTAGTAGCAGTGGTAGTAGTAGTGGTAGTAGCAGTGGTAGGACTCACCACTGTGATCTCTACATTGGGTCAAACTTAACATCTCTTAATGTTCGACGGCTTGTGCACCAGATCTTATTTATTCACGATGTACTTACAAAAAATTCTGCAGATTACCTACTGGATCTCCTCTCTCTGTGTCAAAGAACAAATTTGACCTCAGGTCTTCGCTCATTTACCAGCTTCACATTCCCTATTGCCGTACAAAAACTGGAGGAATGGCCTTTGCTATTGATGCCCCCAGGGTCTGGAATGCTATTGCCAATAAACTGCAACTTGAATCACTACCTATGAGATCTTCACTCAAAACTGCTCTAGAGGAGTTGTACAACCCTAGCTGCCACTGCTATTCAGTGGCCTAAAATATGGCTCTAGATTTTGGTGTTATAATTTATTTATGTAGTTTATTGTTAAAAATTCGGTCATAGTGTCTATGATCACTGTTACATTGGATTTATGGCTTTTATTTTGGTGATTTCGAATTTTTTTTGTTTTTGCCATGTTTTTGTTTATTGTAGTACGGAGTTAGACTGATGGCCTTAATCTTAGTTGTCTTGTGGTTGTTGTTGTTGTTTGACTTGCATCCCACTGGGATTTTTGCACACAGCGTTGGTGTACGGTGCTATTTCAGGAATATTTTTATATTTTTTTCTTGTATTTTCTGTTTGCACAGTCACATAATCACTTTAAGATGTTTTCTTGTTCATGTTTTTGTTTGTTGCGGTGGCACCCGATTCAAGAGCCGAATGGCTCACAGGGCTATACCAAATAAATGAACTATGAACTAGTAGCAGTGGCAGTAGTAGTAACAGTAGTAGTAGCAGTGGCAGTGGTAGTAGCAGTGGTAGTAGCAGTGGTAGTGGCTGTGGTAGTAGCAGTGGTAGTGGTAGTAGCAGTGGTAGTGGTAGTAGCAGTGGTAGCAGCAGTGGTAGTGTCAGTGATAGTGGCAGTGGTAGTAGTAGTGGCAGTAGTAGTAGCAGTGGTAGTAGCAGTGATAGTGGCAGTGGCAGTAGTAGTAGCAGTGGTAGTAGCAGTGGTAGTGGAAGTAGCAGTGGTAGTAGCAGCAGTAGCGGTAGTAGCAGTGGTAATAGCTGTGGTAGTGGTAGTAGCAGTCGTAGTAGCAGTGGTAGTGGTAGTAGCAACAGTAGTGGTAGTAGCAGTGGTAGTAGCAGTGGTAGTAGCAGCAGTAGTGGTAGTAGCAGTGGTAGTAGCAGTGGTAGTGGTAGTAGCAGTGGTAGTAGCAACAGTAGCGGTAGTAGCAGTGATAGTAGCAGTGGTAGTAGCTGTGGTAGTAGCAGTCGTAGTAGCAGTGGTAGTGGCAGTGGTAGTAGCAACAGTAGTGGTAGTAGCAGTGGTAGTAGCGAGAGAAGAGCGACAGGGAGGCGTCTGACCGAGCGAGTGAGCGGGGTGACTCGGTGAGTGCCGGATCGGCCATCAACTCCCATTGCCGTCACGGTGTCTAGGAGATGTTAACTACCTCGCCTGGTACACAGGAGGCTGTGGGTTCAATCCGACTCTGACGCCTGCTGCTGTATATTTGGAGTTTGCGTGTCTCTCTCTCATCATCATCATCACGGTGGCTAGGAGATGTTAACTACCTCGCTTGGTATACAGGAGGTCGTGGGTTCGATCCCGACCCTGACGCCTGCTGCTGTATATTTGGAGTTTGCGTGTCTCTCTCTCATCATCATCATCACGGTGGCTAGGAGATGTTAACTACCTCGCCTGGTTTACAGGAGGTCGTGGGCTCGATCCTGACGCATACCGTGTGGATTTTTCTCCGGGTACTCCGGTTTTCCCCCTCCAACATTTAGAATCAACATCACGTGTTTGGAGCACAGGGTGCTTCAAAAAATGTTAACATTATGGGACTTTTATGGGAAAAGAACGGATAACACACTGATAACGTGATAACGAATGTGATGTTAATAGCTGCAAAGAGTGTCCCCCACGTGTTCGCCATCGTTGTCAACTCGTGCCTGGAATCTTCCACAGGTGGTTTCTTGAGCCCCGAGGGAGCAGTACATTTCCTGCGGTATTGTTGCAAATTCTCGGAAGTGTTCACATTTGTTTTGAAGCACCCTCGCTTATTTAGCTGCGACAATGAATTTCCACGCCGCGACGATGATGATGACGACGACGACGATGATGACGATGATGATGACGACGACGATGATGACGATGATGATTATGACAAGCCACTTCTTTGGCCCATCATTAGTGAGAGCCAGGCCGCTTCTGAAAGAGAGTCACGCGTAGCCCCGGTGTGTGCCTTACCCTGGTCGAATCAGAATAACAGTCACGATTTCAATGCCGCTGCTGCTGCCGCTGCTGCTGCTGCTGCCTGCCGCTGCTGCCTGCTGCTGCTGCTGCCTGCTACTGCTGCTGCTGCCGCCTGCTGCTGCTGCCTGCCGCTGCTGCCTGCTGCTGCCTGCTGCTGCTGCTGCCTGCTACTGCTGCTGCTGCCGCCTGCTGCTGCTGCTGCCTGCTGCTGCCTGCTGCTGCTGCTGCTGCCGCCTGCTGCTGCCTGCTGCTGCCTGCTACTGCCTGCTGCTGCTGCCTGCTGCCTGCTGCTGCCTGCCGCTGCTGCTGCTGCCTGCTGCTGCTGCTGCTGCCTGCTGCTACTGCCTGCTGCTGCCTGCCGCTGCTGCTGCTGCTGCCTGCCGCTGCTGCCTGCTGCTGCTGCTGCCTGCTACTGCTGCTGCTGCTGCTGCCGCCTGCTGCTGCCTGCTGCTGCCTGCTACTGCCTGCTGCTGCTGCCTGCTGATGCTGCTGCTGCCTGCTGCTGCTGCCTGCTGCTGCTGCTGCCTGGTGCTGCTGCCTGCTGCTGCCTGCTGCTGCCTGCTGCTGCTGCCTGCTGCTGCCTGCTGCTGCTGCTGCCTGGTGCTGCTGCCTGGTGCTGCTGCTGCTGCCTGCTGCTGCTGCTGCCTGCTACTGCTGCTGCTGCCTGCTGCTGCCTGCTGCTGCCTGCTGCCTGCTACTGCTGCTGCCTGCCGCTGCTGCTGCTGCCTGCTGCTGCTGCTGCCTGCTGCTGCCTGCTGCTGCTGCCTGGTGCTGCTGCCTGCTGCTGCCTGCTGCTGCTGCTGCCTGCTACTGCTGCCTGCTGCTGCTGCTGCCTGCTACTGCTGCTGCTGCCTGCTACTGCTGCTGCTGCTGCCTGCTGCTGCCTGCTGCTGCTACTGTCTGCTGCTACTGCTGCTGCTGCCTACTGCTGCTGCTGCTGCCTGCTGCTGCTGCTGCTGGGTTGGCAGTAGCGGTGCACGGGCACAGCGGAAAGTGACTCAACGCGTTCATCACTGAACCCCGCGACGTTTTGGGCAATGACCCTGCTTCACAGCAACGCCACCGCAGATGTAACATCAGCGTCCCCACGTGGGGCGCCGCGCTTTGCCGAGAAGTTTGTTGTGGGGGGATGGGGGGGGGTGTGGGATTTGATGGCGAGCGGGGGGGTGGGAGCGCAGGGGGTGGGGGCAGTGGAGAGGGGCAGTGAGGGAGGGGTGGGGGAGGGGCGGGGCTGTGGGCGAGGGGCGGGGCTGCGGGGGAGGGGTGCTCGCTGTGTTTCTCGGAACAGCAGCAGCAGGAGGCGGGGCACGTGCTGGTGACGTCACGGCGCGAATGACGCATTCCCGTCAGCACCTCGCTGGGGCGAAACAAACACTCACACACACACGTGTACACACACACGTGTACACACACACGTGTACACTCACACGTGTACACTCACACGTGTACACTCACACACACGTGTACACTCACACACACGTGTACACTCACACACACGTGTACACACACGTGTACACTCACACACACGTGTACACACACACACGTGTACACACTCACACACGTGTGTACACTCACACACACGTGTGTACACACACACGTGTACACACACACACTTGTACACTCAAACGTGTACACTCACACACATGTACACAAAGATAAAGATCCCCCGTGTAGCCTGTAACAGACTGTAGGGGCAAGTGCTGTTAGCGAGCACCAATGCAGGTCGGCACGGCACACGAGGGGGTGGGTGGTCAACACCACGCCCGGCCGCCTTTGTCTCCCCAGTGGCGATGTTTACACACCGCACCAGGTACTCATTTGAGGCTAAGTCGACCTAAGCGAGGCCCAGGACCGGTTCAGATAATCGTCACTGGTGATGGCCGTGAGCGGGAATCGAACTCGGGTCGCCAGGTTCGTAGCGCAGCGCCAGCGCTCAACCGCTGCGCGTGGCCCTGTCTCTCCCCTAGGTCTACCCAGCCTAAAAATGAGTGCAGCTGTACCTGGTGCGGTGTATGGGGAGACAAAGGCGGCCGGGCGTGGCGCTGGCCACCCACCCCCTCGTGTGCCACAGCGCCGGCCTTCACAGGTGCTGCTACTCGCTGACAGCACTTGCCCCCTACAGTCTGTTACAGGCTACACGGGGGGCGTCTTTGTGCGTCAGGATTGTGCGCGTTCTCACCTGGGTCGACGGCTATCGTAGCGATGGTGATGAGGTTGACGGCGATGATGGCGACGATGATGCCGTGGAGGAAGGTCGCGTGGCAGGCCATGAATCTGCGGGCGAATTTCTCCTTTTCCTCCTCCTCCTCCCGCGATGTCTACAGGCTCTTCCGAACTCGGAGTGAGAGCGTCTTCCTCTCGTCTCCAGCGCAGTTCCTTCCCTTCCCGTAATATAGTGTGTGTAGGTGTGTGTAGGTGTGTGTAGGTGTGTGTGTAGGTGTGTGTGTGTAGGTGTGTGTGTAGGTGTGTGTGTGTGTAGGTGTGTGTGTGTAGGTGTGTGTAGGTGTAGGTGTGTGTATGTATTCACGTGTACGTATGTCTTGGTGTATACATGCGAATGGGGAGCGGTGGCGTAGTGGTTAGCGCGCTGCGCGACTCACCCTGCCACCCGAGTTCGATTATCGCTCTCGGCCAACGCCAGTGACGTTTTTCTGAACCAGTCCTTACACCCCCCCTAGGTCGACTCAGCCTCAAATGAGTGTCTGGTGCGGTGTGTTAACATCGCCACTGGGGAGACAAAAGCGGCCGGGCGTGGTGCTGGCCACCCACCCCCTCGTGTAGCCCTCAGCACTTACCTTAAAGGTCCATTTAAGACTCTATAGTTGACCTCTGTCTTTCGTGTGCAAGTGTGTGCGCGTGTCTCTCTCTCTCTCTCTCTGTGTACATGAATGTGTAGGTGGCACGTGTGCGTTTACCTGTGCGTCCGTGTACCGGGTGCACGCGCGTCTTCTCGAGCGCGTGCAGTCCGTGAACGCCGCTCTCTGTTGGCCTCACGACTGTGCAGCGAGATCGACGGAGCCCCAGTAGTCATTGAGTCTTGGGGCTGATGACTAAGCCCACCCCCCCCTTAACCCCGCTGCCCTCAAGGTGCCCGGCCACGCGACATTTGAGTAAATAAAATTCCCAGCGGCACACGGAGCAGCTCCCGGCAGGATGAGTGAGAATGTGAGGGCGTGAGTTGATAGTTGTGTGCGCGCGTGCGTGTCTCTCTCTCTCTCTGTGTGTGTGTGTGTGTACAATCAGCGCTTGCCCCGACGGTCTGTTGAGGCTACACGGCGGACCTTTGTGTGTATATGGGGAGCGGTAGTGTTGTGGTTAGCGCGCTGCGGTACGAACCCGCTCACAGCCAGCACCAGCGACGATTGTCTGAACCGGTCCTGGGCCTCCCCTAGGTCGACTCAGCCTCAAATGAGTACCTGGTGCGGTGTGTAAACATCCCCCCTTTGGAGACAAAGGCGGCCGGGCGTGGTGCTCGCCAACCACCCCCTCGTGTCTGCCCCACCGGCCTTCACGGGGGCTACTCGCTAACAGCACTTGCCCCAACGGTATGTCAAAGGCTATATGGGGGATCTTTGTCTTTGTGCACTCAACCGAGGGGGTACCTTGAATCAGCTATCGACTCAGCCACTCGGCTAACGCAACCTCCCCTCTGGCTAGAACGCAGAGGGGAGGGGGGGGTTGTGGACCTCCGTGGATGAGGGGAGGAGGAGGCTCGTCGTGAAGGGCGCCGCTCCTCGGGCACTGGGAGGCAGTCGCCCTCCAACCACCACGGCAGGAGGAGCGACGCTCCAGCGGCTAAGACACCACACGTTGGCGAATTGGGTGGGGGGGGGGGCACTAGGGCTGAACGATTAATCGATTTCAAATCGAAATTTGAAACAATATGCGATTAGCAAATCGCAAAGGCTGCGATCTTTTGCGATTTTAAAAGTCCTATTACTTTATTGTTGAAATTGTTTTTTTTTAAATTATTATAACTTCATTATTTAACTTAACAATTGATCTATGTTTGATTGTTCTATTTCAATTTAAAGCTTTCGTGACTGCAGTGATTCATATTCTCGTTCCTTTCGGCAAAGTCACGTAGAAGGGAAACAATAAAATAATAAAAATATGAAACAATACAATTCTCACGTTTCGACTGCAGCACACCTGATGATGATTGCTTGTGTTGCAGTCGAAACGTCGTGATAATTTTATTGTGTTATATTTTTATTATTTTATTGTTTCCCTTCTACGTGACTTTACCGAAAGAACCAAGAATATGTTCTATTTCAATTAAAACACTTGAATAAATACATGTTGGAAGCAATTCATATATTTTAAGTTATCATCCTTGCATTAGAATATATAGAGCAGTTCACATTGTGATGGTATCACGTGGTAATGCTCCATCACATGTTTTACATCTATTACACACTGAATATTGAACTGAAGCTTGACTTAAAAACAAAGAATCGCAAATCAAATCACAATATCTGTCAGAAAAAATTAAAATAGATATTTTCCCCAAATCGTTCAACCCTAGGGGGCACAGGTTGTGCATCTGCCAGTCATCTCGGTCGGCCAAGCCATGGTACCCTGCGTCTGTCCCTAGGGGGCACGGGTTGTGTATCGGCCAGTCATCTCGGTCGGTCAAGCCAAGGTACCCTGGGTCTGCCCCTAGGGGGCACGAGTTGTGCTTATGCCAGTCATCTCGGTTGGTCAAGCCATGGCATCCTGGATCTGTCCCTAGCGGGCACGGGTTCTGCATCTGCCAGTCATCTCGGTCGGTCAAGCCATGGTAGCCTGAGTCTGTCCCTAGGGGCCACGGGTTGTGCATCTGCCAATCATCTCGGTCGGTCAAGCCATGGTACCCTGGGTCTGCCCCTAGGGGGCACGGGTTGTGCATCTGCCAGTCATCTCGGTCGGTCAAGCCATGGTACCCTGGGTCTGTCCCTAGCGGGCACGGGTTGTGCATCTGCCAGTCATCTCGGTCGGTCAAGCCATGGTACCCTGGGTCTGTCCCTAGCGGGCACGGGTTGTGCATCTGCCTGTCATCTCGGTCGGTCAAGCCATGGTACCTTGGGTCTGTCCCTAGGGGGCACGGGTTGTGCATCTGCCTGTCATCTCGGTCGGTCAAGCCATGGTACCCTGGGTCTGTCCCTAGGGGGCACGGGTTGTGCATCTGCCAGTCATCTCGGTCGGTCAAGCCATGGTACCCTGGGTCTGTCCCTAGGGGGCACGGGTGGTGCATCTGTCTGTCATCTCGGTCGGTCAAGCCATGGTCCCTTGGGTCTGTCCTTAGCGGGCACGGGTTGTGCATCTGTCTGTCATCTCGGTCGGTCAAGCCATGGTACCCTGGGTCTGTCCCTAGCGGGCATGGGTTGTGCATCTGCCAGTCATCTCGGTCGGTCAAGCCATGGTCCCTTGGGTCTGTCCCTAGCGGGCACGGGTTGTGCATCTGCCAGTCATCTCGGTCGGTCAAGCCATGGTCCCTTGGGTCTGTCCCTAGCGGGCACGGGTTGTGCATCTGCCAGTCATCTCGGTCGGTCAAGCCATGGTCCCTTGGGTCTGTCCCTAGCGGGCACGGGTTGTGCATCTGCCAGTCATGTCGGTCGGTCAAGCCATGGTCCCTTGGGTCTGTCCCTAGCGGGCACGGGTTGTGCATCAGCCAGTCATCTCGGTCGGTCAAGCCATGGTCCCTTGGGTCTGTCCCTAGCGGGCACGGGTGGTGCATCTGTCTGTCACCTCGGTCGGTCAAGCCATGGCACCTGCTGGGTCTGTCCCGTGACCCCCTGCCAGCAGCGAGCCTCCCACGACGCTTCGACTGTCCTCACGGTGCAACGAGGCCTGGCGCAAGCGCATTTCCTGCGGCGAAGGGCGACTGCAGTTGTAGTTGATGTGGCTATGTCGTTTGTTAACATCGCCACTGGGGAGACAAAGGCGGCCGGGCGTGGTGCTGGCCACCCACCCCCTCGTGTAGCTCACAGCACTTGCCTCAAAGGTCCATTAAGACTATATGGAGGACCTCTGTCTTTCGTGTGCAAGTGTGTGCGTGTGTCTCTCTCTGTGTATATGAACGTGTAGGTGGCACGTGTGCGTTTACCCGTGCGTCCGTGTATGGGTGAACGTGCATCGTCTAAAGCAGGGGTCTCAAACTCGCGGCCCGCGGGCCAATTGCGGCCCGTGGAACAATATTTTGTGGCCCCCTACTTGACATTTTTAATGTATTTTTTAATTATTATACTTTATTTTTCCATAGCTAAGGCTCGTGACAGCTTCCGGTGTTTGTTGACAAGTTCGCCAACGCGAATTAGCAACGTCAGTCACTTGGTTGAAACGTGATTCCGGAGTGACACCAAGTGGAAGGAAAAAGATATATCCTGTCACCCAGTGGAAGGTACAGAGGACTTAGGAAGTGGGCGGACTCAACAAGAGTAATCAGTGACCTAATAAAGACAACAGAGTGTTGCAATAGGAAAGGGAAAAGAATTACATGGATAGCAAATAGCATGAGATGGGTGGCAAGAACAAACGCCAAATGGTGGTTAGAACCTGAATATTATAAAGAAGAAGTTATAGATTATTGTTACAAGAGAAACAAAGACAAGGGAAAAGGACAGATATGTGCAATCGCAAAAGAAATCGAATTTTCCAAGAACAATTTAATTCAAAAGAGGAAGAAATTAAAAGATCGATGTAAAGCTTTCGTGACTGCAAGGATTCATCTTCTTTGGTTCTTTCGGTAAAGTCACCACGTAGAATGAGAATAAAATAATAAATTGATAAAATAAAATAACACAATAATATTCTCACGACGTTTTCGGCCACAACACAAGCGGCCTTCATCAGGTGAAGGGACGAGACTGTCTGGAGGACAGCGCTGGAGTGAAAAAGCCGTGACTCTAAGCTTAAAGGTCGTGATCTGAGCGTGGCTTTTTCACTCCAGCGCTGTCCTCCAGACAGTCTCGTCCCTTCACCTGATGAAGGCCGCTTGTGTTGTGGCCGAAACGTCGTGAGAATATTATTGTGTTATTTTATTTTATCAATTTATTATTTTATTCTCATTCTACGTGACTTTACCGAAAGAACCAAAGAAGATAAATTCAAAGATATAAAACATGAGACAATGCACTTGATGTTAAGAATTAAGACAGGTGGAGTAACACGGACACCAGAGTTAGCTCAATGGCATCCAGAGAGATTTGGTAGAGCAGAAGGATATGTAGGATGTAAACAAAAATAAGAAAATCTAGATCACTTTATTTATGAATGTGAAAGGTATAAACACCTGAGAGAGAACACGATTGATAAATTTAATAATGATAAGAAAAACCAAGTGCTCAAAATTAGCACTTGTTCAAAGAAAACTGGAAGAGGAGGGTGTTGAGGAGGCCATTGCTCTGCACTATCCATCAGCAGGCCCTTTGCAGCAAATGCCTGAAGTTTGACAATGTGATGTCTGTCGTTGTGAAATGCATCAACCATATCAGATCCAGGGGCTTAAAGCACC